TGGTGTTTCCCTTAGCTGCCAGTTCCCTCTACTTAGGAAGGAGATCAAAAGGCTAAAATGGTTTTTAGCCAGCTCTTCTGGCTTCCTCTTTGGAGAGACTGTACTAATTGATAACTTTTTTTAGGAAACATTGATAAGATCCACATTTTTGCTTCCTCCACCCCAATCATTTCCTATTTTCTAGCGCTATTCTCTCGTTTGAATAGACTGATTTCAACTTGTAGCATTTGTAGGCCATGTCTTATTACTGAGATCTTTTTTACTAAGTCTATTCCTAATGACCCCAGCATGAGCCAATTCTATGATGTAATCCACAACAAAGCACATGTGTGGCTTTTAGGGCACTATCCTCAACACAGTGTAACAGTTAAATGATTTTTATGGAAACTCCTTATACTGATACAGATGGCCCATTTATCCCTATCATTTAGCTCTAGTTAACTTGGGCACTGAGAAGAGTCACAGTAAATGTCAGAGGTAAGACTTGAATCCAAGTAGTACTGACTCTGACACAGGCTCTCTATTCAATATGTTATGTGACCTTTCTTTTCTTCTCTTTCTTTTTTTTTTGGTTAATTCGTCGAATACAACATGCTTAAGTAGAGGAAAATGTCAAGCAGAATTCATTCTATAATTCTACTTCATACTATTGCTAGTGGGTAGCATGCAGTAGGTGCTTAATAAACATACCTTGGAGGATGTGTTACACAGATATCATCAATATTTGTATGACTAGCTTTATCACGAGTCTACTCAACTTATGAGAAGTTCTGATAGGTGAAATGCTATGTTCGCTTAAGCTCTGGAGAAATAGTCAAAGGAGCTGTCTAGCTGTTCTTTTTTTTTATTCCTCATGAGCTAAATCTCATGCTACTACTTTCTGTAGACTTGTAAAATGCTGAATAAAATATACTTTAGCAGTCTGATAGTAAGATCAGACTCTGCTGAAAGGAGAGGTTGAGAACTGTGTAGACTACAGACAGCTGAGGTCTACTGTGTGTTTTCTTCAATTTGGTGTTTGGTATTAAACTAAGAAGAATTTTGTCTGGCAGGTAGGAAGAGAATCATGACAGAACAGCATCATAAAAACCCAGGAGGAGAATATACAGAAGGAGGGGATGATTAATAGTGTCAAATTTTGCAGAGAGGTCAAGATGGATAAGTACTGAAAAAAGACCACCAGATTTGCAATTAGTATGTCACTAGTAACTTGTAGGGAGAAGTTTTAGGTAAGTGATGAGGTTGCGAGCAAAACAAGAAGTGATTATGAAATGATCAGAAGGAGAGAAAGTGCTACCAATGAGTATAGAAAGATTTTCCTTTTGGACTTTGGCTGTGAAAGGGAGAACGGTAATCAGATAGTAGGTTAAGGGGATAGTAGGATCAGGTAAAGTTTTTTGGGTGGCGGGGGGGAGACATGATCTGGGCATGTGTATAAGTAGTAGGGAGTTGGTGGATAAGGAGACATTAAAAATTACACAGGGATGGTCAAAAGGGAAAAATCCCAGAGGGGAGTTAAGAATACAAAGAGTCGAGACAGTGTTTTGGAGAAAGTTTCTCCAAAAATGAAGCAAAAGAAGACAGAATTAGGGATGACACTGATGTAATTTGGAGCATAACACGCTTACTTCCCCAAGGAGACCCTGTGAATCATCTCTCCATGTTTATGTGACTTTCTTTTGTCTTCTCATTTATTTATCTTAAGAATGCCAATATTGATGTGGCCCAAATTTTCCCAACAGCAGGTTGATTGTTTGTCACTAGACAAAAGTCTGTTGTACCAATAGTTAAGGCAGAGAGGCATTCTACTTCCTTTCTGCCAATCTTCTACGGTTGCTACTGAAGATCAGGGTTGAGGGCCTTTACATCTTTTTCTTTATTTCAAGGGTTGTCATGCCATGACCCTACATATAAACATATGGAGTTATCTTTGTTTATTTTCACATTCCCTTGTTCTCTTTCTCAATGGCTTTATTTCATTTGACTTAATTCCTGACTTTCAGTTTTCTCAATTTATTGACATTCTAAAGTCTTACATGATAACATTCCATGCTTTTGGTCATTCTTCACAATCCCTATACATAATTATTTTTAAAGTGTTACTGGTGCCCTTTGCTTTTACATTGCATTCATTTCAAAATGTGCCCCTCCTCCTTTCTTACTCAGTATCTTCCCTTGTAACAAAGATTAAAAAACAACAACAGAAACAGTTCAGCAAAACCAATTACTACATTAACTATATTCAGACAGCACATGCTTCGTTCCACTTGTAGTTTTAACAAAAAGTGGATGCACTGTTTTCCTCTCTTATCTGAGGCAAAGCTTGTACTTTATAGTTACTACCCTACACTTTAAAAATCTGCATTTATGATTTAAGCATTATTATTCAGAGACATGGATAAATTAGATAAATCAGGGAATGGATAAATTAGAAAGGTCTTTTCTTATATGATACTATATTACTTCTAAAGAAACTATCCTCAGTTATGGTAACTTGTGCTGCATACCTCTTGAAATTGCAAAGGTCCAATCGGATAAAGAAATATTTTTTTTCAAAACTATTGTATTTTTCTAAAACAAGTTCTCTTTTACATTCTTTCAAATAATGTGAAAAAAAGAACATGTTTATAAAGCTGATAGCTTTTTTTCTTCACTTATTTGATTCTAGTATTGATCTGGTTAAATGCATTCTCCATGGTCATCCAATCCCCATATCTTGGCTACTTAACTGGCCAAGTCTCATGAATTCTACTGCCATACTATCTCTTGCTTACTCCTCACTCTACCACGTGGCTACTAGCCAATCTGTGCACTCATCACGTTCACCCTGGACTATTTACAGTGTCTTCTGGACTAGTCTCCCTAATTTCAGGCTCCCACTTCATTAACGTATCCTCTATGCAACCACAACACAGGTGGAATCCTGTTACTTCCCTGCTCAAAAATCTTTACTGGCTCCCTATCATCGCCTCTAGGATAAAACAAAAAATCTTTAGCCTGACATTTGAACTGCTCTGCTATCTGGCTCCCCTCTACTTTTCCAGACAATATTACATTACGGTTTTGTACTCAAACTTTCCTGCCCAATTGAACCACTAACTGTTCCCTAAACAAGACATTCTGCCTTCTGTCTTTGTGTCTTTTCACAGGTTGTCTGTCCCCTCTGCCTAGACAGTACTCTCCCCTTTTACAATCATCAGCTTCCTCCCTGAAGGCTCAGTCCTGATGCTACCACCTCTGTGAAAACTTTCCTGATTTCAGTTGTTAAAGAGTTCTCTCCTACATTTACTTACCTGCACACACGGAATACAAACTCCTGGAGGACAAGAACAGATTTATTTTTGTCTTTGAGTTCCTAGCATCTAATACAGTTATACATATTAGGCACTTAATGAATATTTGTTAATTGAATTAAATAATTCATTTATATTTTTTTCACAAGCTTTTAGTGGCCATCTTGGTAACTCTTGCTTTTAACTAATTCTCAAAAGCATATTCCTACTGTGAATATGATAGTTTCATTTTGTTTTGATTTTTCTCCAGTAATTTAACACCCTAGGCTTTTTTCTCTCCAAGGTTTCCTTTTTCAGTTCCCAAAGTTCTTTGTATATAATATACAACTTAAATTTCTTTGTTCAAAGCAATTCATAATGTTGATGTGCTGTGACCTATTTTTTCCCTTCTCTTTTCTTGAATTGAGGAAATTGAAATTTGCTCCATACATATTATTTCCTAGCTCTAACAACAAAGGACAGCCAACCTTCACTGAGCAATTTAAGTATTACTAGATTGAGGTATTTTTAAAAAAAATATTCACAAGGAAGAGAAATGAGTCTGACATACATATTAGCTAGAACACTATAAAAATATAAAGCCTGATCATCCAATGTTTTAAAGGTTATATAATTTCAGTTCTACAAGACTGAATTCAATACAGATCTTCAATATTCATTCAACAGCCTCTTAAAAGTAAAGCATGCAGAGCACTATGTTAGGCACTGGGGGAGATACAAAGTTTAACTGAGATAAAAATCTTTCCCTCATGCATTTTACAATCTAGTAGGGTGCTAAGAAAGACACATAATTATAACATACAATATTACAAAGCAAAGTGCTACGTGAGATCCAAGGGCATATATTCTTATTGGAAAGAAAAAAAGATAGGTAGGTATTTCCTAAATGTTAGCTTACATGGATTGAAATGAATTGAATGTCCATACTGACATGAATCCATTCCTCTGAATGTATGTCAATTCACAGGTTATTAGATAAGGACCTCATATTTAAAGCTGATGGTCTAAAAGACTTATCCTTACTACTCTCTGCCTCTTTTTGTGTAATTCGACTCTCATCAATGAACAAACAGAAGCCAAGGAAGGGGAATAAGTAAGGTACCACAGAGGACTCTGCCCTTGGACAGGCTGGACCCTGGAGCCCTAGCTTGGGATCACATGCAAAGCATTTCCACAAGGACTATCCATTAAAGCTTGTGTGCTTCTGCTACAAACTTTCAGAACTAAAGGTTACCCCCAATGACTCACTAGAGGAAAAGCCTTTTGTAGAGGGGCCCTCTTAAACACCACCTGGAAGGAAAGATTCCCTTCCTCTTCAACCATGGCACTGGACAGAAATATTCTCTTATGAGAGCTAATAAACCTTGCCCAATTCTTTGACAGTACCAAAATAACAGTGCCACAAATTTTAAGAGTCTATACAGAGTGGTATAGAAAATTCCTACTTGATGAGCACATATTCAAATTTCTAAGAAAAAGTGGATGATTATCAAATCTTCAGATGACTCAAAGCCCAGAGAGAGAGTTAACATGTTAGATGACAGGGTCAAAAAAGATCCTGACAGACTAGAATGATAGGCTATCTCTAAGAAGATTAATGTAAATTGAAATAAATGCAAAGACCTACTTTGGGTTAAAAAAAATCAACTGAAAAAGTCTAAGATGGGGAAGAAATGGTCAGAAAAGCATTCAGTTTAAAAAACCTACCAGTTTTCATGGACTGCAAACTCAATATGCATCAAGAGCATGACAATGCAGACAAGGAGGTGAATGCAATACCTAGATAAGGAAAACTAAAATTTTATAGCTACCTTGTTGTTAAATTTAACAAAAAGTTTGATGCTTTTAAAGTGAGATTTTTTAAAAAAAGATACACATGGAAAAAATCTTTTAGGCAAACAAAAATGTATAATAAAGAATTTAACTGGCAATAAAAATTAAAGTGACATTAAGTATTTAAATATAATTGTTTCTTGATATCGGTGAGGAAGAAATAGAAACCTAACACAGTATCTTTGGCTCACATTTTCACAAGCAATACAATTTTTGCTAAATTCTTTTGAGTGAAAAATTGTGGAACTCTCTTCATTTTAAAAATCTTCCAGGAATAAAACAATTCCCATAAAGTCATGGATAAGGATATACAAAACAAAAACTTTAAAAAACTTAAACAAAAACATTGGTTTTACTGAATATAAAGGAATAATATGGTTCCCTCTGAGTATCATAACTCAATGTTCCAAACCTCTGAAATCATCTAATAAAGTTCATGTATAAAACGTTTTAACAAGCAAGGTCTCAGAATGTTAGTAACAGCCTTTATACTGATTTATTTGGTTTAAAAAAATAAACATGATTGTAATAAGAAGGGGACAAAAAAGAAAAATTCCATGTTAACCTCAAAAGTATCTATGTTAAAATACTCTGCCAATAAAAAGATATCTTCTCCACCTATACCCTCTAAGAAGGCCCCAAAGATTCAACATTACAATATCTAAAGCTCAAGGTATGCTTTTTACATGGTCAAGATATATCTTTAAAATGCAACAGGCAGGGGGAGCTAGGTGGTGCAGAGGATAGAGCACTGGCCCTGGATTCAGGAGGACCTGAGTTCAAATCCGACCTCAGACACGTAACACTTACTAGCTGTGTGACCCTGGGCAAGTCATTTAACCCCACTGCCTAACCAAAAAGCAAAAAAACCAAAACAAAACCAAAAAAAAAATGCAACAGGTATATGAGATTAGGCAACATGCTTTGGGATTTATTTAGTGCCATTTTGTCTTCTTGTCAAAATTAACTAGTAATTTAAAAATAACCAGTGTTTTAAAATTTCTCAACAAAATGTCCAAGGACACCATTTTAAATATTAATTTCTTATCCAAGATGCTTATTTCCATTTTCTTTACAGTAAGTAGACTGAATCAAAATTAATTTAGGTAAATAAATATATTGCCCTCTAACCAACTCTGTTCCTGCTTTAAAAACAAATGGTGCTGTAACACAATTAAAAATTAAAAGGTTGCACAATTAGTACCTGAAATATGTTCTTCCTGCTTTTAAGTTTCCTTCTCTCCACTGAGCAGTAACATCAGCAGGTTCAAGTAGGCCTTCAAAAATATGCTGCCACAGATAAAGTCCTGGTAACCAGAAAAATTTAAAAAAACACCACACATATATATATATTTATATATGTACATACATACATATATGGATATGTACATATAAGTGTGTATTTATAATACAGCAATGTCTAATGTAGGAAAGTACTTTAAATTTACTTATTTATTTCAATTAGCTAGAGAAACATTTCTTCTGCTTTGTTTCTTTATGAACTTTCATAACCGAGGACCAATTAGTAACTGCTTAAAATAAGCCCCATACTAAAAATAAACCTATCAGTGTTTCAACATTACTAATATTCTAAATACTATTTTATGGATTAGAATATTAGTCTCCATTGTTCTACTTCTTTGCAGAGGTTGTCATGGGGAAGGTGGTTTTACTGGGGTAGAACATAAAATGTCAATTTTTTTTCCTACTTATTGATTGGTTTTGTTGAATTTTATTTCTCTTTGATCTTTTTCTTTTTCTTTTTTATAAAGAAAGAAAGGGAGATAAAAGGGAAAATGTAGGCAACCTTATTAAAAAAATACAAAGTCAACATTAGTAATTATTAAAATTCACCCAAGTATATACAAAACATATAATCAAAATTTCATCTATAGAAACCCATGAATATTTGGGTGGAACACAGTTTTAACATCTAAAACTGGGCATTACATAAGTGATTAAATTGTTCTGTCTTGCTTAACTTAAAAACATATCCAAAATTTGCTCTAGGATCCTATGTTCCAGTAGAAAAGACAACTAGGTGATACATAGTTACAGAATAAATATAAGGAGAATAAATACAAATAGATACAAAGTAGTTAAGTGCAAGGCTGTTTGGGAGAGAGGGCATTAGCAGTTGAGGGGATTATGAAAGGCTTTATGGTAGTGCTGGGGCTGAAATTTCAAAGGAGAGGATTCTATGCAATGAGGTATGGGAGACATGGAATACACCTCCAATATTAGAGAGAGTCAGCACCAAGGTGTGGGAATGGGAAATAGAATGCCACATAAGAGAACACAGAGAAGGCCAGATAAAGGGAAAGGATTCATATGTACCAAATTCAGAGAACTGCCAAAGTGATATTCTTTAAGCACAGGTCTGAAAATGTCATTCCCCTTGGGAAATGATTCCTTCCTTTCCTACTGCCTTTAGGATAAAATTCAATCTCCTCTGGGATTTAAAGCCTCTTACAACCTGGTTCCTATCTACCTTTTTATGTTTGTCACGTGTTATTTCTCTTGACAAAATCTACAGTCTAGTCAAACCAGTATTGTTGCTGTTCCTTCTATGCCTTTGTTCTGTACCTCCGTTGACAGTTCCTCTGCTTGAAATGAGCATCTTAAACTCTGCCTTTTGGAATTCCTGGCTTCTTTCAAAGCTCAGCTCAAGTGTAACCTACTTGAAATTTTTCCTGATCCTCTAGCCTAGATGCTATGGTTTTCCTTTTGAAATAAGCTTATATTTAATTTGTATTTATTTATATGCATGCATATTGTTTCCTACCAAAAGAATATAGGCTCTTTGAGGTCAGGGAAACTTTTGTTTTTGTATGCGCAGAGGCTAGAATAGTGTCTGGCACAGAGTAGACTCTTAATAAACGCTTACTGAATGATCTGGGAGAAAAAAAGAAAGAAAAATTGTCTACATTTTAACAGGACAGATATAGAAATGGTTATAGACAAATAATTTCAGGTGCCACTGTATAGGTGCAGATCATCTAAAGGTTAAAGTATAAATACTGAATTAGAAAATGGGTCAAGGATAAGAAGATGACACTACATTCAATTTTAGCAACTCCAAATTTGCTTACTGAGAGATGCGAACATAAGCACAAGTTATCTCTTGTTGCTTAAAAAACCAACCAACTGGGGGCAGCTAGGTGGTGCAGCGGACAGAGTACCAACCCTGGAGTCAGGAAGATCTCAGTTCAAATCCAGAGTCAGACACCTGACATTTACTAGCTGTGTGATGCTGGGCAAGTCACTTAACCCCAATGCCTAGCAAAAAACAAAGCAGAACAAAAAACCAACCAACCTTTAGCCAAGTAGAAAAAAATAGAGCCTTAAAAGTTTTTTGACAGTATGTTCTCTGTTGCATATGTTAAAGTCATCCAAGATTTTATAATGGGTGAGACTATGGAGATAACTTTGGGAGTGAGAAGAATATTATATTTGTGGTTTGGAAAGTCCCTGGTAACCTCTAAGAAAATGTGCTTCCTAATCTGGAATTATATGAAGAGGGCGATTAAAATGTCCATACCCTGTGACCCTGATATTCCACTGGGAGCCACAGACTCCACTGGAAAGGCAGTGACAAAAATAAAGTACTCATATACAACAAAACATGCATAGCAGCACTTTTTGTAGCAGCAAAGAACTAGAAGTAAAGTCTGTGTCCACCAACCAGGGAAAAGTTAAACAAATTGTGGCATATGAATGTAAGGAAACATTATATTCATCAAGAAATACATACATTACATTAAGAAATGTTGAACACTGAAAATCAAGGGAATACTTACATGAACTAATGCAAAGTGAAGTAAGCAGAATTAAGAAAACAATATATACAATGAATATAATAATATAAATGATAAAAAAGAGCAAAATAATCCAAACTAAACGTTACTAGAGTTTCATGACCAAAACTGGACAGAGAAGAGATATGACAAAGTACTTCTTAGCTCTGAGTGCTGTAAATCACGACGACTGATTCTGATATGGAACACTGCATATACCAGACTTTTTCAATATACTGGTTAGTTTTGAACTTTTTCTCCTCTTTTTTATTTTTCATTATAAAGGATAACTCTCCAGAAGAGAGGAAAGATATATTGGGAAATGTAGGGTGATGTAAAACTAAAATCAATATCAATTTTTTTTATTAAATATCAATACAATTTTTTAAAAAAGAACAAAAGCTTCCATGTCTTTGCTCATGTGTTCTTCACATTCAGTGATCTCCTATCTCCTTCTTGGGTTTGGACCACTGTATATAATGTCCGACTTTTTCAATATGTTAGTTTTGATAACTTTTTTGTTCCTCTTTTTATGTAATTAAAAAAAATTTTTATTGTAAATTTGACTCTCCGGGAGGGGGAAAAGATGCATTAGGAAAGGTGATATACAAAAAAACTTGTCAATAAAAATGTATTTTTAAAAAACCCTAATGTTTCCATATCTTTGCTTTCACCTGCACTACATTTCCATGTTTTCTTTCTTTTATACGAGTCCTAACCATTTTTCAAGGCCCATCAAAAGACCCACTCAAACCATGCTTATCCTCCTTGGCATTCCAGCTATCCAAACTGATCTTCATCTCTTTCAGTCTCTTACAGCATTTATTGTCCAATGTGCACAATCAACATTCAATTTCACACTTTTTGGTGTTCCATATTGTTTTATGTATTTTTAGTCCAATCTTTCCAATTTTACTGTAAGTTTTATGAAGGTGTAGACCAAATATTTTATTTCTGTGTTGCCCACAATGCTTACACATGTAGAAAAGATAGATGCATTCAACAAATATTGTTGCCTACTGTATACATAACATGATGCTAGGCAGTGGAGGAGACGCAAAAGTTGATTCCGGCCCTAAAGAAGGTTATCATCTCAAAGGAAAAAAAACCAAAACACTTTTCTCTCATACAACCAAGTGGGTAAGTATTAACATCTCCTGAGCAGGCAGAGGAGATAATTCAGAAGGGCCGAGGGCCAGATAAAGCTGGGATTAAAATCTAGGTCTTCTGATTAAAAATCAGTGTTCTTCTAAAATACGCTACCTTCCAATATATCATACTGGCCATTCAATAACTACTTGTTAATCCAATTAGGTTGAATATAATGATGCTGTATTTCTCTCCCTAAAACTATACCCTAATTTTTTTTTTGGACCTAACACACAATTTCATCAGTGTGAGAAACTCCCTCTCCTAATGCATATCTACAACAATTCAGCAACGTAAGGGTCTTAGAAAGTTGCCTGTACCACATCTAGCCAGAGCCCAGCTGGTAAAAGTCAAAAGCAAAATTTGAAGTCAGATCTTCATATCTTCAAAGCTAGCTGTCTATCCACTATGTTAGACTGCCACTCATTCTAGTATTGTAGTATTATTAAAGTGCATAAGAGAAAATATTGATTACCTTTTGTGTATACACACACACACACACACACACACACATATTTATATAAAGTTGAAAAATAGCAAGGGAACTTTGAAAAAGAATTCTAGTAAGTTCCAAAAGAACAATTTATACAATTACTACAATATTGTAAAGAAAAACATCTTTGAAAGACTTAAGAACCATCTGACAGAGAGGTGGGGGACTCAAAGTTCAGACTGAAATAAACATTTTCTGACATGGGTAATATACAGATTTATTTTGTTTGTTTATGCCTATTTGTCAAAAGGTTTTTTTTAACTGGGGGAGTAACTTAGGAGGGTAAGGGAAACAACTATAGTAATAAAAGGAAAACAAGAAAAAAGTCATTGTAGCAGTTTTTAAAATGCACAGAAGAGAACAGAAGGCCTTCAGGACACACAGACAAGCAGGACAGCTTTGCAACTAACATGCTGAATTTTGTAAAAATACAAGCTGGATATATAATGAGAGATTTGTGGTTTTGTGTCCAAATCCTTTTTGTTGTTGTTTTTTCTGTGTATATGAAAGTGCCCATTTGTTGATTTTGGCTGAGTTCAGAATAACAAAAAATTTTTTAGAATACTTCCAGTACTACCATATCATATATACTCTTAAGAGCTTAATAATCTAGTCAAGAATGAAGATAAGATGTACTCAAAAATACCAATTTAATATAATGTTTACAAGCAAAATTATTTTGTGATGTATTTTACTATGTAATTTATACAACTCACCAATGGCAGCCTTGCCCCAGATCTGTACCCTGAGGTCTATTTTTCCTTTCTGAGATCTCTTTTTCTCAAACAACTGAATATTACTTTCATATCTATGTTGCAAAGCAAGCTGCTCAATTTTTTCATCTGCTTCCCAGGGATTCCATTCCTCATTTGTCAAAGAAGAAGGTTCTGTGTTTTAAAAAGTTAGAGTATTGACAAGCATGTTAACATGGTTATCAGAGACAGATTCAGGAATTCCTTATGAAAGATTACCAGGATAGGTACGGGGAACTTAAAAATGTATATAACTAAGGGGAAATTTTAATGTAGGGGCAGGACATAATTTTAAGGTATAATTCACACTACTTGAGCTGTAGCTTTCTTCAAACAATTTAAATATTGGCTGTATCTACTTTTACCAGAACTTTAATAGTTTATTGTGGAAATGATGAAAAGCAAAATCTGATTCAATACAATGGTGTACAATTTAAAATTTTAAAAGCAGTAGCTACTTCATTATTTGATACATTTCTAAGGTCTGAAAGAGCTTGAGAATTAAAGGGGAAGGAATATAGATTTCCTCTCCAAAAGTGGCTTGTCAAATATGCTGATGTTGTATATCAACAGTGTACATTTATGTTTTACTATGTCCTTGTCGACTGTTACATGTATAATCCCGTGCATAAAAACACTATACTTCAAAAAGACAATGTAACATTTATTCAACTGTATAAATACTACATCCAGGCTGTCACAGAAACAACTAAGTTTCAAATACTGGTGTAAAATTCCGCATGACTAGAGTCCAAAGGGAAAAATATCTCCCCAGGTCTAGTCCTCACTCCATTTATCTTAATATGCTTAGTTATAAAACACTGTAAGAAAGACCATCCTTCCTGATAACTCATTAGGGTGTAATAGAAGTGCGTCTCCTGTATTATAGGTAGAACCTAGCTAGCTTGACAATGATTCACCAGATTTAGCTCTAAACACAGGAGAGGAGACCAAGATATGCAGAGTACTCATCTTTCCTGGAATCAGCAGGCTTGGGTTCAAAACCTGACTGTGCCACTTAACTTAGCACTAGTGCCATCTTGGACAGGTTTCTTTTCATGGCCTCAATTTCCTCATCTGTAAAACGGGGTAAACACAATTTCTAAAGGCCTTTCCTCCCCAAACCCGTCTAAATTCTACGATTACATGATAGGAACAATTTTCAAACCACATTCCTTAATTTCTCTCTTTTTTAAAAACAGATATCTCATTTGAGCCTCATGATGACCCTGTGAGGTAGGTGCTATTATAATCCCCATTTTACAGATGAGGAAACAGACACATGGGGGTGAAGTGATTGCCCAGGGTATTATGATCCCAATTTTAAAGTTGGAGAAACTGAGGCGGATAGCGGTTAAGTGCCATGCCCAGCTCAGAGCTCTGCGCACGTGGAACCCCCGGGGTCCTTGAGGGTGGCGGAGGGGGCGTGGCCAGACAAGACGGCCGCAATGACGCGAACGCGGGAGGGAGGGGTCGGGCCGGGCCAAGCCTACCCGACCTCGCAGCTCCCCTCCCTCCCCCTCAGGGTCGGGCGGCTCTTCGCTCCCGGTCTCCTCCGCGGGCCGCCGCCCGGGCCCGGCTCCCCGGGTGGGGACGGAGGGGGAGCCAGGAAGGAGGAAGAGAGAGAGGAAGAGAGAGAGGGAGGGATGGAGGGAGGGGGAAGGACGAAGAAGGGGAAGGGGCGGGTTGGTTACCTCCGCGGCTGCCGCGCCGACTCTTTCCTGGGGCCGTCCCATCCCTCAGGCCTCGCGTGGAGGTTGCCGCGCCCCGGCGGTCTCGGCGACTGCCGAAGAAGACGCTGTAGGCGGCGTAGAGCGAGAAGAGGCAGTAGGCGGCCACGAACGCCGAAGCCAGGCGCTTCCGCGTGAGCCGCATTCCGCCTCAGGCCGCCAACGCCGCCGCCATGGCGCCTGGAGCAGGAGCGCAGACCCCGCCCGCCGCGTGCAGCCGTCTCCCCACCCCCACCCTGGGAGGCGGAGATCCCGCTGTGGGCCGAGGGCCCGGCGAGCGTCCCCAGCCCGGGCCGCGGCAGCCCGTGCGGCCGATTCCCGGTCTGCCGCCGCGGGAGGACTCGGCGAGGCCGCCCGCACGTGCGCATGCCTGAGCCCGCGCGCCAAGTGGGTGCGCTTACCTGCCGTGGCCGGCTCGAGCGCTTTGGTTTTGTTTTCAAAATTTTTTCAGTGAGCAAGCATTTTTTTAAAAATTCACATTTTTTTTCTCTTTCTCACTTGCTGAAAAAGAAAGGAAGGAAATAGATAACCGTTTATTCATAAGAAAAGAAAGAGAACCTTTAATCAAAAAGAACGAAAGACATACCTTAAATCGTAAGAAAGAAAACCTTATAAGAAAGGAAGGAAAAAAAGAGACAACTTGTATCATAGGAAAGAAAGAGAAGCCTTGTTAACAACAAGAAAGAAGGAAGACAAGGCAACTTGTATTCTAAGGAGAGCCCTTGTGTCACAAGAAAGGAAAACCTTGTACCATAAGAAAGAAGAAAAGACAATCCTGGTATCCTAATAAAGAAGGAAGAAAAGACAGAATCCGCGTATCATATGAAGGAAATAAAGAGAACCCTTGTACCATGACAAAGAACGAATGAAAGAACCCTTGTACCATAAGAAATAAGGAAGTAAAAACAACTCTTGTATCATAAGAAAGAGAGAAGGAAAGGCAGAACTCTTGTATTGTAAAGAATGGAAGGAAATCGGGGAAAGAGGAAAGACAGAAGCTTTGTCTCACATAGGCCTTGTCCAGCAGGTTGCATGCTGCTGACTGAAGCTGACCTAGTAGTTCTGGTTCCCAGACCCATGAATTCCCTGAGGCTGACTAGATAGTATCGTTTCCAGCCTCTTGACTATTTTGTAAATCTCCCAAACTTTCCACTCTGGGATTCCCAAGCTTTCTTTCTGGAGTTTTAGTATGTATGCAAACCAACTTACTTTGTAAAACCTTGGAATGTCCCAACCCCTTTGCACCTTCAGCCCTTTTGCCTCTGTTCAAATGCTTTGTAAGCACCCCAGGCCAGCCCCCTCTTCAGGCAGTTGATACTGAGTGGAACCTCAGTTGCAAATCTTAGCCCCGACTGAAGATCGTAAATTTTGCAATATTGGCCGTCTTCTTCTTAATTCAGGTTGACAAAATCCCACAAGGCCCATCTACAGAACTGTGTTTCATATTTTACGTGTTAGCCCAACAGCTATCTGTCATGAGATGGGCAATATTCTTCATAACTCCTTTGGAAGCATGGTTAATCATTTCCTTTATCTAGAACTCCTGAGTCTTTTGGAATTTTTAAAAAATATGTTTTTACAATATTGATGTTATAGCATACATTAGTAATTCTCAAAGTATGGTCTGGGGACCACTGATGGCCCCAAGACTTTTTCACAGCATCTGGGGAGTAAAAAATATTTTCATTATAATACTAAGACATTTTAAACTATGTGACCCTATGCAAGTCACTTGACCTCTCAGCCTCAGTTTCTACTATCTCCATTTTACAGGTGAGAAAGTTTCTTGATCTGCTAGTTCCTTATACCAATATAATCCAGTCTGTAATGCTATCTTATCAGTATTAATACTCTTGTTTTTGGCAACAAAGGTAGTACCCAGCTTGATCACCTCTTGTGTGTCACCAGATTTGTGAAGGAGGTTTAGTTGTTTTAAAAAATTGAGCCATCCCTCAGAGGAGGAAGATGTTATTGTATATCCAGAAAAATTGCTGTACCTCTGAAGGGCAATCCAAAAGAGAAGTTCCAAAACCATTCAAGCATTGATTCCATTGTTTGAATAAGTTTTCGACCTTTTGAAAACCTGCAGGAGGCAGTTTGCCAGGAGTGTATAGGAGGTATTGGTTAAATCACTGTTATCCTATTGGGGCATCTAGTGGTGCACTGGGCAGTCTGGCCTCAGACAATAGTTATGTCACCTTGGGCAAGTCATGTAACTGCTGTTTGCCTCAGTTTCCTCCTCTGTAAAATGTTGATAATAATAGCACCTACCTTACAGTTGTTGTGAGGATCAAATGAAGTAATAGTTGTAAATTGCTTAGCAGAGTGCCTGGCACATATAAGGGCTATGCAAATGTTAGCTATTATTTGATTTGCAATTAATAAGGTTACAAAATATTTGGTATACCATTGAAAAGATAATAAAAACAGCTTTTTAAGGTTCACAAAGTGCTTTACATATGTTATCTCATTTGATCCTCACCAACACCCTGTGAGGTAGGTGCTATTATTGTTGTCATTTTGTTGTTGTTGTTCACTCTTCATAACCCTATTTGGGTTTTTTTTGGCAAAGATACTGGAGTGGTTTGCCATTTTCTTCTCCAAATCACTTTATAGACAAGCAAACAGTGTTACATGACTTGTCCAAGGTCACACAGCTAGTAGGTGTCTGAAGCTGAATTTGAACTCACAATGAGTCTTCTTGACTCGAGGCTTGGTACTCTATCCACTTCACACGTAGCTGCCATTGTCATTTTAAGGGTGAGGAAACTAAGGCTGAGGTTGCAAAGCTTGACCAAGATCTCAGAGCTAGTACCCAAAGCAAGATTTAAACTTAGGTCCTCCTTACTCCAGGTCTGGCACTCATTCCACTATTAATCTTTATTTTCTTGTGTGCATATTAATAGTAAAATCTAGAATTTTATTTCCTTTTATGTTGAATGGGGATACAGGAAGGTTGCCTGAAAAGCCAAGGCATAGGTGGACTGAAAATGGTTGGGAACCCTGGAGTTCTCCTTTCTGTGAGAAACCTTTCCCAGGCCTCCTTATTTTCAGTACCTTCCTTCTAAGAATACCTTCCAATCTAAGCTATATATATCTTGTTTGTACATAGTTCTTTTCATGTTATCTACTGCATTACACTGTGAGCTTTTTGAAAGCCAGGATTTTTTTTGTATTTTTTGGGGGGTGTGCCTTTGTATTCTTAGCAATTAGACAATATCTAGCTCATAGTAGACATTTACTAAATGCCAGTTGCTTACTGACCCTTGGTGCAAAACGAGAGTTTTCAGTAGTAGAACGATCTCTGCTGACAAGAAACAGTTTTCTGAGCATTTTTAAAAACATTATTTTAAAGATATCTCCTTTGCTGCCTTTTTGAGTTAATTGAGGGAGGCACTTGCCAGTTGTCTTCTCTTATAATTCCAGAATTGCTGCATGTTCAGCTTTCTAATAACTGATTCGTGAAAGCCCTTTTGGTTAGCACTGCCCCCAACATAGAAATTCTCCCAGTTCTAGTACTCTACTCTATGTCTTCAGTCAGTAAATCAGTAAACATTTATTGTTGTTTGTTCTTTGTTCTCAAAGAGGATCGTAACATCGGGAAGGTGATGTGATGAATTGCAAGTGAATTGTATTTAAGTGAGAGATAGCTTTGCAAAGTCACCAGCCTCACTTTCTCCTCCAGAGTCATGTAGGTCCAGTGGCAAAATATAGATCAGGACAACTGAGATGGCCCTGGATGTAGTGGGAGACTTTAACTTTGACTTTTTAAGCTAAGGTCTTTTCCTGGTCTCAGTTTGACCAAGGCAATGAGTGGAGGGGGAAAACCAAATTTTTATTAATGGCCTAGCAAGGCCTGGTGCCCCCCATGTGTAGGCACATCTTACAGAAGGTAGAGCAAAGCTTTTATTCCTAGGCCCTAATTGCATTTCCCTCCCCTTTTTCCCCATTGGCTGGGTAATGCAGGGTTTACAGCCTATCCAGAGTCTCTGCCGCTAGTTACATCTCCCATTCCCCACGTTTCCTTGTCAACAGCCTACAGCTGTCAATACCCCAGCCGCTACTCATCACCCTGATGACTAATATGCAGAAGCAACATTTCTAACCACATTTCCTACAGGAAGGTGATGCCGTGACTTACAAGTGAATTGGATTTAAGTGAGGGAGGATTGTGCACAGCCACCAGTCTCACTTTCTCTTCAGGAGCCATCTGGGTCCAGTAGTAAGATATGAATCAGGATGACTTGGAGATGGCCCCCTGAGAGCAACCTAGAATTATGCTCAAAGAGTTATTACACTATCCATACCATTTGACTCAGCAATAACACTACTAAATCTATTTCTGAAGATGATTAAGGAAAGAGAAGAAGAACCTATGTGTTCTAAAATGTTTATAGCAGCTCTCTTTGTGGTGACAAAGAACTGGAAATTGAGGGGATGCCAGTGAATTGGAGAATGGCTGAACAAGTTGTGGTATATAATTATGATAGAATACTACTGTGCTGTAAGAAATGATGAGCTCCATAATCTTAGAAAAACATGGAAAGACTTGCATGAAATAATAAAGAGTGAAATGGAAAGAACCATGAGAACATTGTATGCAGTAACAGCAATACTGTTTTAAGAACAATTTTGAATAAGTTTTTTTGACTATTATACTCAAATTAACTATAGTTAAAATTTTTATTATGAACTTGAGAAGCATATACAAACTTGAATATATCTATTCAAAGAACAGAAAGAAAAGGATTCCATGAGAAACCATGAATCTCATTACATACAGTTTGTTTTAAAAGAAACATTAAATTTAACATAACAATGCCAACACTGCCCTGTTTGTCTGTCCCCAACCAAATTTCCTTTTATTTTTCTGTGTATTAATGTTTTATTTATGTTCTTTTGTTTCTTTTTTTAAATCACTGTTACTACCTTACTCTCCCCACTCCCATAAAAGCCCTCCTTTGTAACAAGTAAGTGTAGTTAAGCAAAACAAATCCATGCATTAGTTGAAAATGTATGTCTCATGTACCTCTAATCTCCCACCTCTCTGCCAAGTTTCCAGTCCTTTGCTACAACAAAAAGTTCTTCTACAGATATATTTGTACATATGAATAGTTTTAGGGTATATGCCTGATATTAGTGTCAAAGGGTATGCACAGTTAAGTGACTCTTGGGATACGGTTCTAAATTGCTTTGCAGAATAGAGCTCAAATTAACTATAAAG